TCTTCAGCAAATCTCTGTGACGAATTCTTTGCGTAAACATATCGCAGGTTCTTTGTAGGTTTCTTATCATGATTTCCTGAACAAACAAGAACGTGTAGAGCATCGATTGCTCCTACAAACAACCGTCCCTTTTTTTTCCGGTAGCACACGAAAAATAGACAAAGCTGAACAAAACTACAGCGAACTAGAATCGATCTTGCTTTAATTGTGAATTTGTGAACTAGCCCTTTATTTATTTTAAATATTTCTTTTAAATCTCTAGCTATATTAATTTTGGAAAAATCTTAGAGTTATCTTTTAAAATGCATAAATTTAAAGAGAATTTATCCAAGCAAAAGTTTTATTTAAACTACAAATTACAAAAGCAACTCTTTATCCTTATAAAAAGAGTTTGGGTATATATTCAATATTCTCAACACTTCTAAAGGATTGAAGGCCATAGGTGCACATCAAACTTAAGAGTTGTTTATGTCCATGTATAATAACTTTTTGGACGATGAATTTATGAGAGTAATTTTTGATAAACTAAGGGGGTGTATTGGATTAAGATTTTTTTAGTTGAAAAAAGTTTTATGAATTTTAAAAGACTTTTACAGAATTTTCATGACTTTTAAGATTTTGTAGGATTTTGCAAGACTTTCAATCAGGGTTTTAATAAATTCACTCATATATCCATAGCTATATTAATCCTCCAAGCATTAATATCTTTTTGCTTTTGCTCCTGAGTTTTAATAAGTTCAAAATTATGATTTTCATTAATCGGTAATGTTGAAGATGAAGATTCGTCCACCACTTCAATTGGAAATTCATCAAAATGACATTCTTTATGAAGAAAGTTATGTAGTGTTGTACATGCTAAAAATTATTCTAAACAACATTTCAAATTTTTTATAATTTGTGATTTAAAATATTTTGTTTATAAATTTATAAATGATTAAAAAAATAGTGGGACAACTACCCTATTATCTTATAACTAAATATGTCCATTCATTTTATATTGGTATTTGAGTGAAAGTTTATCTTTCATACACTTTTATTCATTTAAAATATCTTAGAAACTTACAAACATCAACTAGGAGAAAAAAAATCTGAAATTTGTTAAAGGAACAAAATAATTTTTTAAATTTTTTAATTAATTTCAATTATTCACTTGTGGAGAAATATTTTTAATATTGAATTCTAAGATATTGTAATGTCTTATATTAATTTTATTTTTTAAAATATAAAAAATCCTAAGTTCACAATATAAAAATTAAAATAAAATTCATAGTTAAAAAAGAAATAAAATAATTGTTGAGTCATAAAAAGGGAAGGATAATAGTAACAAATTCAAGAGAGGGAGAGAGATCACCGTTTTGTCCCGAGAGGGTTCTTCCTCCAACTAAGATCCGTTATTGTCTCATTCTACTCACAGAAACCCTAACTCAAATTCATCTTATATATATATATATATATGGAGAATGCTAATATACTCACACCTATTTTTTAGTGAGAGTATGTTAGCAACCTACATCAAAATTTTAGGACAAAAAATCACTCATTTCTTTTGATTTGGTTAATTCATACAAAGGATATTATAGTAATTTAATTTAATTTTAAATAAAAATAAAATATTTTTTCTCTCTTATTAATTTCATTTTCTAATTCATTTATTTTTTCTATTAATTAATTTTTATTTGTTTAGAGAGAGAAGGGGGAGACATCATGAAAGATGAGAGAAAAATGAGTTAAAGAAAAAATTTAATAAGAGAGAGATAAATAAGTTAGAGAAAGAATTTAATAGGAAAGAGAAATGAGTTGGAGAAGAAATTTAATAGGAGAGAGAAATGACTTAGAGAATGAAGTTAATAAGAGAGAGAAAATATTTTATTTTCATTTAAAATTAAATTAAATTACTATAATATCATTTATACAAATTAACCAAATCAAAAGAAATGAATGGTTTTTTTGTCCTAAAATTTTGGTGTAGGTTGCTAACATACTCCCACTAAAAAATAGGTAGGAGTATATTAGCATTCCCCTATATATATATATATATATATTGTTCTAAAAAATCTAAATTGATTACAAGGTCTTAAAGATCTACAATTTTTTATAGAGATCATGATATCAATTTTAACTTTCATCTTTCCCTTTTCTTTAGGCATTTTATAAAAAAAAAATTACTTAAAAGTTGAAATTTCAAGCATTTTTTGTATTATATAACTGAGGAACAATCTCAACTAAATAGAGCAAATCAATTAAAGAGAACGAAGAGAAAAATAGAGCAAGTCAATGACACTAATAGAAGTTTCACCAAATAAGAAAATGAAATGAGAATAGTAGTATTATATATGAGCAATAATGCAATATTATTAGCAAGAGAAAAAAATGGAGAAGACATAAGCATAAAAAAAAAAAAGGAGATGAAAAGTCATTTCAAACAATCCTCCAAAATTTGATGAGTTTGGATGGGATTATTTTATAAATTTGGTATTTATAGATACCATTAAAAAGTCCTTCAAAATCCCTCTAATACAACAATTCTTTAAAATCCTAATATTTTTTAATATTAATGGATTGTTTTTAAGTTGTAAAAAGTCTTAAATTAATACCAATAAATTTTAATAAACTCTTAAAAAAATCTTGAAAATTCAGATTGAATACTACTAAATTAGTTTTAAGTGACATAAAATCTTAATCAAATACCAATAAATTTTTTTACTAAAAAAAATCTTTTAAAATTCTATAAAATCTTAAACCAATACACCCCTAACATTATCGATAGCTATTTTATACTTAATTAATTCTGAATATCAGTGATGGGATAACTTTGATGTCATCATTGAAAATTTGAAATTCCTAGTAATAAAAAAACAAAGCAATTCTGAATCATTTTCTAAGATTTACTAAAAGTTATTAGTTATATTTGAAACACAAGTGAATAATTAATGAAATGTACGATCAGGTAGGATGAGTCACATAACACAATAAACAACATATAAATCGTAATTCATAGATTGCATACCGATACTTGGTAAGATAAATGTCCATACAAGATATTCCATACATAAATTAAAATCCAGAATTAAAGAGTGATATGCGTTTTTTCTAAAAAAAAATTTAGTTTTATGTATATTATTTAATAACTAATTTTATATTTTCTTAAATTAATTATTCATATTTTACATAATTTTAATTTTTTATTTAAACCCAAAAAAAGTTCAATTTTTTCATCTTCTAAAATTTGTAAGCATTTTTTTCCTTTTTAAAATGGATAATTTTAATTTTAGTTTCTATAAAATATTTTTTTAATAATTATCATCAATATAAAATTTAAAATTACTAATTTTGGCCTCTATTTATTATTTTAAGGTAAACAAACAACATTTATTTTAAAACTCTATAAATTTTTTTAAAAGTGTCACATGATAATATAATATCAATAACAGATATGACTAACACATGTAATGGTAACTTAACCTTTTAATGAACAAACAAACAATTAAAAATAGTTACATAATAATAAAGATTAAAATTAATAGTTCTAAATTTTATAAAGATAAAATACAAATAAAATTTTATATAAGTACCAAAACTATAACTTATTTATTTTATAAAACTAAAATCATATTTAAGTCAAAATAAAATAATTAAGCCTAAAATCTTCCTACATTAATAGCAATACAAGAAAAAAAAGTAAGAAAAGCAAATAATACTAAAATATCTTATCACAAATCGTTTATCGAGTTGTAGAAAAACCAATTTCCTTAAATAAGTCTCAAACTTCAGTTTTGTTGATGACAAAAAATCTAATTAAGAGAAAAATATTAATAAAAATGATAAGTTAAATTTCTAATAAAAATTAATCATCCATAAAATAACTAAATATTGATATGGTCAGAAAAAATATAATAATAATAATAATATTAAAAGAATTTAATAGAGTCTTAAAATTTCAATTAATGATGCCGCCCGATAACTAGAAAGAATCCAAAATGTTTGGGCCTGGATGGATTATGTATCGATCGAGTTTTACGCCTCTTTGTCGGTTGTGCTTGTGCTTACCAACACGTAAACTTTTTATTTATTTCTCCGAAAGACTAAGTAAGAGAGAAATAGAAACCTCGGATTCGAGCTTCAACAAAAAGAAAGAAAGAGTGGTCGCGTCGCAGTTTCACAACAGAGCCTGAGAGTTAAGGCACACAACAACTCTTTCACTTTTACTCCCTCTCTTCACTTCACTCTGCACAGGTATCTCATCTCATCTCTTTCTATCTTCATATTTCTAAATTCACTCCCTACATACATACGTCACTGTTATGTCCCTTTCTTTTTTGACAACCCAATTTTCTCTTTGTTTCCTTCAATTGTTTAACCACCCAATCATTATTTACTCCAATGTTTTGCATAACATTATCATATTCCTAGTCTTCTTTCGTAAGGGTTTAAATGCGTCCTACAGTTAAATTCTCTCCGAATTGTATTCAATTATGAGATTAATGTAACCATCACATAATTGCCAACTTCGATTTATCATTACTTTAATATTATCAAGTGATGATATAATTCATTCTTCGTGTATGGCTCATTGACTCTCTGCGTTGTACTTGGCTGCTAAATGGCAAAAAAGTGGTTTATGTGTAGAGAAAGTCTATGAATTATTGCTGTTCATCTGGTTCTGTTGCGTGCTTATGCAAACAAAATTCATCTTCGTTTTAATTTTTAAAACCCTATAGGAGTATCATCAATGAAGTCTATTGGCAATTAAAGACTGCTTTGATTTCCTTTGCTGCTCATATTTGTTTATTGGGGATGTTGGAGGTCTCATACGAACCAGTGATATGGTCAAAATAGAGTTTGTAAGTGGGAGTATGCCCTTATCTTACAATCTGATTTGGTACGATTGACTTTGGCTCAAAACTCATTCTTAAGATGGTAACAGAGTCTATCTTAACTATTGTTACCTCCAATCAAGTGGTTATTGTGCCACCCATAGATTCAAGTCGTTTTAAGAAGGTATAAGCTCTTTTATATTTTTTCTGGGGTACAAATCATATTCATGGATAATCTTTCCTTAGCGACAAATCTTTGTCTAGTTTACTGTAAAGCTTTTATAGTTTTGGAGTTTGAATGTCCTTAGGACTTGTGCATGCAGCATTCTTGTTTATCTTGCAATCACATCGGTAATCGTAACTGTTTCCATGTTATTTTCATTACTATAAAGCTAATATTGTTATTACTGGGGCAGCAGCGTAAATTTATGGCTAGTGCTGGTGATAGAGAGGAATCTGAATGGATAGATAGGATAATATCTGAAGGAGCCGTTCCACTTCTTGAGCCAGATAATTGTTCAAATGGTTGGGCTACCCCTCCTGGGGATGCATTCATGGTCAGAGGCCCTGAGTATTTTACAACAAGGGTTAAGGTTCCAGCTGGTGATTATCTGCTCAAGCCTCTCGGTTTTGATTGGATTAAAAGTTCAGTGAAAATTGGGGAGATATTGAACAATCCCAATAGTCGAGTTAGGAAGGTCATTGATAATGAGTTTCCAGCAGGTGATAAACCCTTTTTATGGGCCTTCAATCTTCAAGTCCCAACCAAGGATAACTATAGTGCTATTGCATATTTTACTACCAAAGAGCCAGTTGTTGAGGATTCTCTAATGGACAAGTTCTTGAAGGGTGACAATGCATTCAGAAACTCAAGGCTTAAGCTGATTGCCAACATTGTAAAAGGTCCTTGGATTGTTAGAAAAGCTGTCGGAGAGCAGGCTATTTGTGTGATTGGGCGTGCCCTTTCCTGCAAATATTGCCTGGGGGAGAATTTCATGGAAGTAGATATTGATATAGGGTCTTCCATGGTTGCAAGTGCAATAGTTCATTTGGCATTTGGTTATATCTCAACTTTGACTGTTGACTTGGCTTTTCTTATTGAGAGCCAAGTTGAATCAGAGCTTCCAGAAAAGATTTTAGGTGCCTTTAGATTTTCTGACCTTGATCCTGCTTCAGCTAGAACAATCGAGCCGTCATCTATTGTGAGTTGTGACGATGTACAGACATCTTTACCAACTAGATTGTGGAAGTCAATTGGACAGGGATTTTCTCATATTCTTCATTCAGGTCCTCAAGAAGACGGCTTTACGTCTGATTCACAACATAGTAAAGTTGCTGTAGATCACAAAGATAATCCAACTGACAACAAGAACTGGTGAGTTGCGTAGTTGTTATGTGCATTTTGATAACAAGATTACAGATGCTTTGTATTGTAAGTTCACCAAACCATGTCCAGTGTAAAAAGTTGTCCAATAACTTAAGTGTTTATATCCTGTGTTGTTTCCTTTGTATCGTACCTTAGTATGTATTGACGCAGCCTAAATATGAACATTAGGCCTTATATGCCTATTAAGCTATAGGTCCAGTGACTATATACGGCCTTATAGCCTTGTATATATTTCCTACATACGAGTTTTAATTATTTTGTATGTTCTGTACAATGATTTTGTTTGCAGATATACTGGATGGAATTGAAGGGGAACGGAGTTCCATTTGAGGTGATGATTCTTTTAGCATTTTTTTATGATTGGATTCCAAGCATCTGTTGTATGATTTAATTCTTGCCTGTGGCAGTACAGTATTTTGTAATACTACAGAAAGAAACTTGGAGTGGCCCAAATTTTTTTGGGCTGGATTATCATGTATATCTTATCTTATTAAGTAAATTCAACTATTTATAGTAGACGAGTTAGTCTTTATCTGGCAACTAAAATCAGGCCATTTGTTTGTCTATGGTATATTTTTTGTGGTTATATGAATTAGAATTGCTTCAACGTTTATAGGCTGGTTATGATGAATATTTTCTTTATCAATTCGTTCTACAAGTTTAAGTGCTTCTAAATGGGAATTTGGATTCAGCGCAATAGAAAATGCACGTCTGGTTCAGATTGAATCACATCTTGTTTACAAAACATGCACGGTTCATCCAACTGCGCCATTTTTTACTGCACGGTTCTCATATGACTTGGTCACCTGAGCATAGCATAGCATCTATTATTTCTTACAAAGGCCCATTATGAGGAATGTGTCGAAGAACAAATGCGTGTGTATCACTTGCTCAGCTTGCCTGTCAATTTATTATAAGCACCGCTATTAAAAGCACAAACTTTAATGCATTTAACGGTTGAATTGAATTGACTCCTTGCACCTGGAATTGATTCTATGGTGCGAAGTATTCCATTAAAATTGATTTTGTCTCTAATTAACTGTGATTGTAATTGATAAAGATATGTAGCATGTGTGGTTGAGTGTTCAAGTGGCCAAAACTTGAGTATTGGATATAAAAATTTGAGTCTAACAAAAGAAGCTTTTGCATTAAATGGAAAAATGATGTAATTTTGGAATAATCGAATGCTGGTTTAAAATGCATATAAATGTTTCTATGGATAATTGTGATAATATGCACATGATATTAGGTTGTCTTCATTATAATTCCGATGAAAAAAAAAACCTCAAAAGAAACAAAATAAGATGAATATTGATTATATGGAAATGTTGAGGTCCTGTTGTAACTTAGTCCTAGGCCCATGTGTGAAAGCCCAACATTTTTCTTCTGTGCTTAAAACCAAATGGCAAAGCATTTTCAGCATCTCATAAAGCAAAGGCTTCTCGGTTCACTCAAATCAAATCCCTTCCAATATCTGAGTTATGCAATTCCAAAATCACAACTACACTACACCAAGAAATAAGAATGATGACCGATTAATTTTGTGATGAAACGAAATAACTAGAACTAGTTTATTCGATTCAAAAGTTTTCCTGAAAATCTCATAAACCTGTGTATTTTTATAACTGATAAAAAAAACTATTTTATTTTAAAAATTTAACGTAATTGCATTCTAGTCAGATATTCAAATTCTTGATCTGATTAAGTTTAGAACAACTATTTTTGTTTTTTGTCTGAAACAAGATAGAACGACTCTAGTTAGCTAATTTATGTATTTAGTGATATGTTATCTTTTTGTGTATACAAAACTTAGAAACATATAATTATTTTTTTTTGCCAATAATGGTTAATTATACTGTAAACAGTAGTTACGTTTTTTTTAAAAAAATAATTAATAGGTTTAGTTAAAATATGATTATTTATTAGCTTTTAATTTGAGCATGACTAATTAAATAGGTAATTAATTATGTGATGACTGAGTGTAACCTACAAAGATATTCAATGATGTTAACAAAACGAATTTATTAATAATTAAGGGATAGGATCACAAAATCGATTTCAATGGAATTCCTTGAAGATTTTAGTTTCGTTGACCTCTTGCTTCATGCTTTTGTTTGGAATAGCAGACAGAAGAACGGAATGAATTGTAACTCGTTTAGAATAACAGAAAGAGAGGAGAACGGAATGAAATGGGAAGAAAAAAATGAAATCTTCTATCATTTGACAATTTTCTAGGAAAGAAATAAACTAAAAAAAAAATCAAATTATCTTTATTTTTAATCACCTTTTTTATTAAGATATTTATTTCTACATTTGATACAATTAAACAAAAGAAAATAAAAACTTTTACTTTTCTTTTATTTTTTTTTTCTCCTACCAAAAAACCCAATAGAAAATCATCTCCCTTTAGATTCTTTTTTCTCTCTTTCTCTTTATTTTATTTTCTTTTCTTTCTAAATCAAACAAACCGGGGAAATGAAATTCTCTCTTTCTCATAATTGCAATACTTTTATTCTCAAGTGCCAGGACCATAACCTTCAAGGAGAATCATATCAAGATTTACGCTTCTCAACCCTTTACCAAGCTCGGATAACAGTTACATTATTTTAAATTTTTAAAAAATACTTACTTAAAGTTATTTTTATTGTTATTTTCTCATTTTCTGAGTATATATTTTTTTAATAAAAAGACAATGCTTTTTCTTATCTGAAAAATAAATAAATCATGTTAAAAGGGTGGAAAAAAGAATAAGAATCGATCGAAGTTTCACACGTGTATATGCTTTTGCAATTGAGATTAATTACGGATACCTAACACATAATCTTATATTAATAATATAAAATACTTCTATTTATATTTCTAAACATTAGCCACTATATGTTTATTTATTTATTAGTAATTAATTAGTAATAGGACATCACAAGCCATATAGAAGGAATTTCGAGACATCAATATTGCTCTAGTGGCTGCTTAGAGTCAACTAATGATAGTAATTGCATGGTAGCGTATGTGTTACGTTTGGATACTTTGCAACTATTTTGTTGCCAATTGTCACAAGTTGTGATGATGTGGTTCCAAAATTCCCTCTCGTTAGTTCATACATATGGGAATTTTTTTCTCAAATAATATTTTTTTTTAAAAAAATTACCAAAAAAACATCTATTACACATTATTTATTCAAATAGACTTTTTTACTGTTCACACTCAGAATTCGGTTTTCCAGTGTTATTATTTTTTTTTTGTGCTTAGAATTCGGTTTCCGGGGAACCGAATTCTGAGTAGTATTTAAAAAAAAAATTCGTTTTGGGCTCAGGAATGTGTCAAATTTACAATTAGAACGGGCCGTTCTGTTTGCATTCCTTAGAGAACAGTTTTCTGATCCATTCGTTATGTGTATATTTTTTATTTGGAATGGGCCGTTCTGATTACAGAACGGCCCATTTTGAATCTAGTTCTCCTTTTCCTCATAAACTAAAATAAAAAAAAGAAAATAATATATATATATATATTATATATATATATATAACACTGCTCAGAATTTAGTTTCTCAGAAACCGAATTCTGAGTACAAACAGTAAAGAGGTTTATTTGGGTAAATAATGTGTAATAAATATTTTTTTGATAATTTTTTTTAAAAAAGATATTATTTCAGAAAAAAATTATATATATGGCGAATAAAATTCCAATCTTGAAAAAAATAAATATATCAGGAAGAAAAAAAAATAGTACTCCTTTCAAGTTCCAACTTACATATCATGAAAGAAAAACTGCGCATTGCAAGTTAGACCATGCATTGCCTTTCAACGGTAGTTAAATTTACCTACGAAAAAAATACACCTTTCGAGAATATATAATTAATGTGTCATCAATTTCTTTTTCAGCATCATATTAACTTTGAGGTTTTGCTAATCTTGGGTGTAACAAAGCTACCAACCCGGTCACATTAATTTCCTCCACGGTTTAACCACTAAGATCAAAAAACCAAACCAATGTGTCACTATATAAATCCTTGTGTAGTGACCACTAGTGTTAATTTTCTTAACATGTGGTTCTCATTTCTTAGTCCTTTTCCAATGCGACACTCCAATATTAATGCACCTTGTGATGATCACTCACCCCAAGTAGCACACAATGTTCCTCAACTTGATCATGGAGGGTGGTCTAGGCGTGGTCGAGAATTTTGTGAGGCAAGAAGAGCATTTCTTAACAGTTACCATTTGAGTTTGGATCAAAGGAACAACAACAATGGGAGCTTCAAGGAGAAGTTGAAGAAATCAGTGAGGGAGGTAAACGAGGCTGCAATGGGAGTTGTTTTGGGCATGCGTCGTGGGGTGTCCAAGAGAAGGGTTGGCATTAGGGTTTTTAGGGTCAAAATGAGTGCACAATCGTTGGCTCTTGTTACCATGAGATGTTTTATACCATGGTTGAAAAAAAGTGATATTATATAGTAATATATATATATATATATATATATATCCACGTAACAAATACCTTTCATGTGGGTACATTAGGACAAAGAATTATGAACCTATATATAAACTTGAAATAAGTTCTGTGCATGGTGTGAGATATTGTTAAACTGATGCCTACCAGATTTGTGACATCATATGTGTACTTAAAAAATCTGTCCATGTTTGTTTTACTTTGCTTCTCTACCGACTACCATTCTTTCTTTTTTTTTTTTTTTTTTTTTTTTTTTTTTTTTTTTTTTTTATATTGAGTAGAAAAGATTACAACAACTTCACGCATCTACTTCCATATTGGACTAATAACTAATAAGTTCTCCGTACACCATAAATTGCAAGTTAAAGAACATGAAGAGTTAATGAACAATCTTTTCATAATTTAATCCTTAAAAATTAATTAACATGATATATCCACCATGAACAAAATACATTATCATACACTGTACCAATATTTTAAAATATAGGTAATTTTTTAAAAATTTTAAAATTTTAAAAATGAACTTATAAAAGTGATGTGCAAATTGATTTCAGTAAATAACCAAAATGATATAAGTAGCAGAAATTTTAGTGGATCTTTTTAATATAAAATAAAAATTTTAAAAAGATTAATTTTGACATAAAGAGTTAAAATTTGAGATAAAAAATTACTGTGAAAAAAAATAAAATTTTAGCATAAACATTTTAACATTGAGATAAAAAAAAAATATTAATAAACAATTATTTAGAAAGATTACATCCAAAAAGAAATTTGACAAAAATTTTAAAAATTAAAAATATGTTAATTCATAGTAAAATCACATGATTCATAAAAAAAATATAATACAAAATAATCTCATACTCAAGAGTAAATACTACATTTTATTAAAATACACACACACATATATAATTAAATTATTACTCCATAATAATTTGTTAATTTTATGATAGACTTAAAGAAATATATCTTAAACAGAAAATTTAAATCCTAAACCTATATATATCATTCAAAAAATCATCATGTTAAAAATGTATTAAATTATTACTCTGTAATAATTTGTTAATTTTATGGCAGACTTAAAGAAGTATCTCTTAATCAGAAACCAATCATGCATTACTCTTGTGTCAATTTGAATTATTAAGCGAAATTCGTATCAATAATTCACAAAAGTATATAACCTCACCCAGAATACAAACTAAATTATTATCTTCTAAAAATTAAAATTAGTATAAAAAACCATTATCATTTTAAAAAAGAGATCAATTGTTTTCTTAAAAAAAAAATCTAATGAAACTGCGGTCATGCGATTCCTGATCATGATTCATTCCATCCAATCATTTAGCAAGCATTGGATATGTAGGAATTTGTTGACAGCAAAATCAAATGCAAGTATAGTTGAACATTCAAGCTTCTCTTCATTTAAAATGTTGGAAAATTCTCAAACACATTTTTTTAGTACAAATTGATAATTGATTGAGATTAATTGAAATACACAATTATTCAAGAATAGCTGTATCCGATTTTAAAACATACATACAAGGCAATGAGGTGTCACAGTGATAGAATATGAATATCTAGAAAATATAGTGGCCACTCAAACAGGTTTGTACTTGTTGATGCCTCCACAGCCACACACATAGCACAGGGTGACCCCACCAACCGGTGATGTTTTTATTGTCCTTACAGAAACTTGTATGCAACATCTAAATCCTTATCTTCGCATTCTCAAATCTCATCCAGTCACTACCTTTTCTGTGTTCAACTGTTTCTTCCAACATCAAATATCAAGTGTGTATAGTACTTCAAATGTTATGTTCTTCTTCTTTTGTTCTCATCTCTATACCATGTCATAATCTTTCTAAACCGTTTTTGGCTTAACAAAACAAACCACTGTTTGCTAAAGGGTTCTGTGTATCTCGAATTTCTTTCACTGAAAAAGTTGTTCGCATATCGCTGACTCTGAGAAAAGGAAGGGAAGAGTAATTAACATGAAAATTCAGTGTGATGTGTGTGAGAGAGCTCCGGCAACAGTGATTTGTTGTGCGGATGAGGCAGCTTTGTGTGCCAAATGTGATGTTGAAGTGCATGCTGCTAACAAGCTTGCAAGTAAGCACCAGAGGCTTCTTCTTCAATGTCTATCAAACAAGCTTCCCAGATGTGACATTTGCCAAGTAAGCACCTCAAATTTCTGTGTGCCTTCTAGTTTTATGATGTCATAAGTCATTTCTCAATTAATTCATGTTCTTGGATGGTTTGGTAATGCCATGTTCTGATAAGAGAAACTACTAGGTTACCCAAGTTCTTTTTGTACTGATCTTGGCTACAATTTAAGTGTGAAAATGCCTGTGTGCATGTGTAAACGAGAGTCTAAGTTGGATATGTTGAATAACATATAAGTGAGAAAGAAGATTCATAAACCTGATTCAAGATTTTAGGTTAAGATATGGTATTTAGTTCACTTGTGTGGTTTATTTTGTGGAGATCTCCCCCAATGTTTAATTCCCTATGATTTTCCGTACTAATAATATGTTAATGACAACGTGTTACAGAAACCTTGTGTATCATTGCCTATTAGCTATTACTATGTTATTTGAAGCACAAGCACCACCTGTGAAATGAGTTTCTTAACATCATATTAATAGTTAAACAGACTTTCTGCTGGTGCCTGATGAGGATGTTGCTTGCAATTTTCCCCTGTTGATTGAATTTTACTAGACAATGGGATATTAAGTTAACTATTGAGACCTAGATTAGGATATTTCAAGTATACAACAAGAGTTAATACCTTTGCTAAAATGATGAAAACAATTGTCGGATGGATATTGTAATAACTTGTAACTATTACTCATTTTATTCTTTACTTTCTCCTACACATACCAACAGGACAAGGCAGCATTCATATTTTGTGTTGAAGACAGAGCACTGTTCTGTCAGGATTGTGATGAACCAATTCATGCAGCTGGCAGCCTGTCCGCGAACCACCAGCGCTTCCTTGCTACCGGTATCCGAGTAGCCGCTAGTTCTAATTGCACCAAAGATAATGAAACAAGTCACTTGGAGCCTCCTAATAGGAATGCACAACAAGTGTCCGGTTCCACCAAAGTTCCTTCTCAGCAAGTGCCTAGCTTCACTTCCTCTTGGGCTGTTGATGACTTGTTGGAATTAACAGGCTTTGAATCACCTGAAAAAGTAAGACAGCTTTATTTCATAATGATTGGTGTTGCATATAAGTGAAGATTGAAGAACTAACTCAACAAAGTAATTAGAGTGTTATAACTGAAAGAAGTTAATAGCATTACATGTTTCATTTGTTGTCCCTGTATACATCTTTGAATTGCCATGCATAGTTGTAGCCAATCATCATGGTACATGTGAACATCATAAGTTATTGTTTTCTGGACACTTCAGCCTGAAGAAAATTGTTTAGCTAGGTTATTGTTTTTGGGACACCTACTGTTGTTTGTTTTTCAATACAATAGTTTTTCATTGATTCTTTGCTGATCATTGAAGAAATTTTCTTTAAATCATTCTGCTTAAATGTTTTCTTACTTATTTTGACACATTCCCATACATAATCAAGCATTCAATTTTATATGAAATAACCATCAAGGTAGAGAGGCCAGTTATGTTTATAGACAACTTTATATTAAACTCCAGGACCTGATATCAGTTTTATTTGACTTTTGATAATTTGAAACACATTTTGAACTATACATGCACATTATTCTGTTGAGGGGATAATGATGTAGAAATTTTGATCCTGGCCCTTATAAATATAGTTATCTAGTTATTTAATTATGATGTGCTTCTTGCCTTATACTATTTGTAACTCTGGTTTTACTGCTGTGCTTAGAAGGAATCTCTGCAATTTGGAGAGCTGGAATGGCTTACAGATGAGGGTATTTTTGGTGAACAGTTTGCTCAAGAAGCCTTGGCTGCAGCTGAAGTACCTCAGCTTCCAGTGACTCATAATGGTGGCAGTGTTGCCTCATACAGAACCTCCAAGTCCTACATGTCCCACAAAAAGCCTAGGATTGAAGCCCTAAATGATGATGATGATGATGATGAGTATTTTACTGTGCCTGATCTTGGCTAAGTACATGGCTTGCCATGCATATGGGTTGTTGCATGCATGATTGGATAAGATTAATTATGGGAAAATAATTGTTTTGTCGAAAAAGATAATTATTATCCCAAAATAAACTATTTCAATCAGACATATTGGTATGTTGTATATTCAATTATTCATACTTCACTAAGGACAATACTTTTCACAAGTTGCGTGGACTGTGGATTTGATAAGTATTGTACTTCAGGTGTTTTGTTGCTGGACAGCATAGAATCCATGCCTTTGGGGAATAAAATTTCCTTGTCCTTAGTAATTTGTTTATGCTTCATACACTTAATTTGATACGGTTGTTTCATTTTGTTTGTTTGCATCCCTAATGCCTGGAAGAGTGTTTGTCCCCATTTGACATTGTGTACCATACTTATGACAATTCGGATGTTTACAACGAGAATTAAACTCCTTCAATAGTACTGCAGTACAACTCTTATTTTAAATTTAGTTAAATCTTTACGAACTATATTTTAATAGGTTAGTATGATAGGAGCCACATAAATGGTGGTAGAATGTATATTTAAGCAAACAATACTGTTCAATTTGCTCTAATGTGGATTTCTGTTCAATTTATTCTCAAAAGTATTTGGATTTTAAAGAAAAATATTAAAAAATAAACTCTCAAATTCTTTATTAGATTTAAAATAATCGATTAAATAAATGAAAGCAAATGCGTTTTTTTTTTATTGATTTCTATTTGAAGTTTACTCCCATAAATAATGTTATATAAACATTCTTATGGATAGTTTCATTTATGTCTATAATTTTTCTTTATCTTTTTTTCTCTATCAGGTCATATCATTTACTACACATATACTCATCCCTCTTTTCTGTCTTTTTCATTCCAATTCTCAAATAACACCCGAGTGTTCATGAATTATTTTCCTACTCCCATTGAACTTCTTGTGTTAGAATACGAGTAAAATAATAAATACTTTCTTGGGGGTGGTCTATAAGTTGTTACCCAACTGATTAGTTATGAAATGTCACTAACCTTATGTGTGTTATTAATTTCTTGTGCATTGGCTGACACAAACTTTACGATACTATTATTATACTTCTCTCGTTATATTACTTTGCATGAAAGGAGGAAAATAAATTGGATATATTCTCATTACTAATTTTTGCAATTCTGATTAAAGAATTCAATTATATAGTTATACGAGTGAAATAGCTTCTCAATTTAGAGTGTAATTTAGCAAAAGCACTTTTCTAAAGAGCAATTATAAATGGAGCAAGATTACAAGAGTTGTGTCCAAAGTTCAGTAGGTTCAGCTGCTTAATATTTATGATCTGCATCTAGGTAAGCCAAGTTCTTGGCGTGGCCAGAGGCTTCACTTAATGAGAAAAATAATCCATGCCACGAGGGTCTTATAAAAAAGGATTTGGAAATTCACATCCACAAACACCATCTGAAATTACTCCAATTTTTTCTCTCAAATGATGGAGGAAAAAGTCCCTACTAAAACCCGCTTCACTCTCCATTCCATCTTAACCATAATCCTCTGTCTTCTGCTATCACAAACCAACTCCTTAACCCTCCAAGAGGACACTCTTGCCCTTCTTGAAATAAAACGTGCCATTGATCCCAACTCAGTCACCCCAAGTTCCTATCTCAACAGCTGGGACTTCTCAGTGGATCCATGTGAAAGCACAGGCTCACAATTCCTAGGAATATTGTGCTACTTGCCCTTAGACAACTCCTCTAGTAGAGTAACAGAAGTTGATCTTGATGGCGTTGGCTATGAAGGGTTCTTAACACCAGCTATAGGGAACCTCACTCAGCTATCAGTGCTAAATCTCAACAACAACAAATTCCGGGGTCCAATACCAGAAACCATAGCCAAACTAAGAAAACTAACAAGACTCACCATGTCACAAAACTATTTCACTGGGGCCATTCCACAAGGGTTCACTGAACTCAAGACCCTTCAATATCTTGATGTCTCAGGGAACAGGCTCTCAGGGCCAATCCCCTCTGACATCACTGGCTTGAGAAGCTTGACCTACATGAGTTTGTCAAACAATGGTTTTGCTGGCAGAATTCCAAACCTCACGGGGTTGTGGCAACTCAGCACACTAGACCTTAGCATAAACCAGTTTTATGGGGATCTTCCAAATCTCCCTGTGAGTTTGAGGAACATGTATTTTCACCATAACATTCTCTCAGGGCACTTGACACCCCTCAAGGGACTCATACACCTTAAGTGGTTGGATGTGAGTGACAACAGACTCTCTGGGGCCATAAGTGGGGATGTTCTCTCCCTAAGAAGGGTTGTTCACCTCAATGTTTCTTTCAACCGTTTCACAACATTGGAGGTTATCAATTATTCCTTGCAAGGGCCTAGGCTTCAAGTGCTTGAGGCTCAAGGGAACCACTTGAGGGGTCGTTTGCCAGTGAATTTGGTGACTTTTGTGAACTTGACTTCAATCAATTTGGCAAATAACCAATTGACTGGTCCCATTCCCTTGGAATATGGAACAAAAGTTCAGACATCGTGGAGAAGATTGTACTTGGATCACAACTTTCTTTCGGGAAATCTTCCTTCGGAGTTTGCTCATTCATCAACAAACGTTAGAGGGAGCCTTGCAAGTAACTGTCTTAGGTGTCCAACAAATGTTGGTCTCTGCCACGGGGGACAAAGACCGTCCACAGAATGTGTGGGGCAACACAACGAATGACACTCACGATTGCAAAGATTAGTCTATACTTTCGACCATGAATATTTTAATATTTCATACCGATATCATAATTATTAAAGAAAAAACACGCATACAACTTATGACATTGGTTTGAATATTCACTGCCTCAGTGATTTTGCTTCCTCCTAAGGAAATGAGATCTAAAAACACAAGCGACAATAACCTATCTAAATGGTGTGCTAAAATTAGTGATTGTATGCAAATAGGAAAATAAATTTTGTGAGTAAAATGTGCTAGTTATATTCATCTTAATTTTGACCTGTTTTCAAAATTATGTTACTTGCTGAGCCATGCTTAGTTGTTGTCGATACAAAGATAAATTACCTTGCAGTTACTCGTTAAGATGGGCATGAAAAATGGCAAGTGAAAAGGTTACTATTGGCCTAATCCAAGAACGAACTTAGTTTGGAAATATCGAACACTTGATATTGTTTAGCAAGAAACAGGCTTTCTTTGGACCATGTGTGGAGACTCAAGAATGAGATTAAACAATTAGAAAGAGAACTATTATGAGCAAAGATGATGTTAAGTGGTTAACCAATGAAAGTATTATTTCAATTTTTGACAAACTTTTAATTACTTGCTACTTGACATTTTTTAATTTGGGTTGCCATGATTCATGAATGCTTTTTTCAAACTAACTAATCACAAACTGAATATATGGGCTTGGTTGGGTTGGATCCAAAAAAAGTCCTCCAATCCCCTGCTCTCTCTCTCTATCAATCCCCTTCAAATTAAGCTTTAAAGAAAATCTCAACCTACGTTTGAAGTTTATACAAAAATATTTTGTGTACATACAAAAAAACATTTTTTTTTAGTTTAGAGCAATAATTAATATTGTTAAGAAACCAAATTTAATTAGGCTAGGGCATAATGGGCCTGGGCTAAACCGAAGCACTAATAATCTCAACTCTGGTTAGGCTCCTTCAATCTAAACAAATTTAGAGGGCCAATAGCAATGATTAATTTTCTCGCTACATTGGAGACACCTCAAAGGGTGAGATAACTAGCCCCAAGATTTAACGCGGCTGCATACACAAGGCAGGATTCGAACCGACAAGATTCGAACCCCTGACCTTGCTTAAGCGTAGATCCCCTACCGCTGAACCACACGCTTGGAGTTTATTTTATTAATCTATAACATTTGTTTGTTGACTAAAAATATAAAATAATTAAAAAATACTTTGATAAAAAGAAAAGATAATTATTGCAAAAGAATTTCGGGGAGGATCCTTTAAAAACTAAAAAGCAAGAAGCAAAACTTTCAAAACAATCCTTGGGAACATCATGGGCCTAGTTTGGGCTAATAGGAATCATAGCTGGGCCGGCCCGAACATCCAAAACTGACGCAGTAACGGACAGAAACAGACAGAGGCAGAGGGTGCTGCACTCAACTGAAGTGGTAATGGTAGAATTGAACGGCATCGTCAAGAGGTTCAACCTGCAGAGAAGAAAGAAGGATTGAATTCATAACCATAATCGTGATTATGGAAGCTTCGGAGTTGGACGAAGGCATGAAGGTGCTGGATTCGTGTTTAGCGCGTATAAATTGGCGCCTCAAACCTTCTTCCAAGCGTCGCTTACAATTAGGTCACCACTCACCTCTCTCAATTCCTCTCTTTCTTTCATCAACTTCATTCACTCATTTCATGGCGTCGAACCAGATATTCTCGCTCTCGCCACAACAATGAGACCGGTGGTTATGATAGACTACGGCGGAATCATGCCGCAGCTCCAACACCACCTCTCTTCGCTCCTCCAACTCGCGCACAAGGTCCTCTTCCG